ACTGATGAGAAAAGAAACACAATGCAACTGCACTTCATCAACTTGTGCGATGAAAGTATTCATCTCAGATGATTCGGCTTGCGTTTGGATTGCACAATTCTGGCACTGCTCGACACTTTTTTCCTGAGAGGAACAAACCTTTCATCATCTCATTTGTACAGATCGTTCTGCGCACAGCCACGATATCAACCAATGCATGTTATCTGTTTTACTGTAAATCAAGTAGACGGGGTCCTTCCTGTTTGGCTTTGGACTCAACCTAGTGAAGGAAGAGGCAGACGCTAATGTGACGGGTCTGGACCCAGCGTTCGAATGAACAGATATGCAAAGCAATAACTTACAACCTTTATTTACCCGGTGTATCCTGAAAGAAGACACATGCTGGTTTCTATCACTGCCGCGGATCTCACACCCTTTAACCCTGTACGCACATCCTGGACCTAACTGATGCAACCACAGTCCTCTACGCCTGGCTGGAAGGGGGATTTATCACCTGGGCTGATTCAAACCAGGCCACTCTCACTAAGCTCAAAGCACTCAACAGCCGACTGATGAAAATAAGGAGTATTATTAAAAAGTCTGCGATGCAGGAGCGACAAATAAAAGTGGATATTTTTTACCATTTAACAGAGAACATGGAGTTGTAATGTTCATAGCCTCTTATGATCTTTTCAGGTGTGTTAAGCTGATCCGACAACAAACAGGTAACCTACCTGTACGAGAAGGCTGAACATCAACTAATAGGACCATGCATGCGTGCAAACACAGAACACACATCCATTAGATATCGGCTGGGGATGTGTAGAAAAAGCAGGTCAATGTATGTGTCTCGTGTGAGATGGGATTTCTGCCTCCAAAACAACCATTTATCTTGGGGGCCTGGACGTTAGCACACTAACACACGGGCTATCGTTCACTGGAGAGGACTGAGCAGAGGGAAAATATTACTCGGGAGAGATAAGAATGTAATTCCACAAAACTCTACACGAGAGTGGCGCGTAGATTGCAAAAGAATGGGCTATTTAATTGATTTTTGTTTACATTATTTGTTATTTACCTCATTATAACCACTACCAGATGCTCACATGACCTTTTGATTACCCCTACATTAATAGAGTAAAGTAAGCCAGGATTAAATTAATTTCACAAGCCAAAAGTCTCGCTATCGGCTGTTTCAACAAAGTCCCACAGAGCACTGGTACTGAAGAAAAAAAATAATTAATAAAGGGAAATAAAAGAGAAGAGAGTGAGAGAAAGGAAATTGAAGTCTGTTAAATTCCATTGGGCCAAAAAAGAACAGAAAAAGGAAAAGAAAGAGCCTGAATTATAATGATTTTACAAGCCGTGCACCCACTTTTGTATGGCTGTGTCCTTAGCAAAGCGTCTCCCATGAGTAAGAAACGCTGCATAATACTGGAGGCCAGAGGTGAGACTTTCACAGCTCGGCACAATACATATTCAATACGTAGCGGGCCCCGGCTGCACTGTTACAAGAGCTTAATTAAAAAATTAACGGTTCCAATGCGGTGAAGTCGGGGAGACCCACAGTATGACTGTCAACGCAGTGTGAGTACTGGTATGTTAGGGCACTTGAAAAATAAAATGAGAAACAGTGAGAATCACTCTGAATGACAATACACACTTGGTGCGTTTAAGCAGCTGTTGGCATTTGACTGAAAGAGAATGTGTGTGTGTGTGTGTGTGTGTGTGTGTGTGTGTGTGTGTGTGTGTGTGTGTGTGTGTGAGAGAGAGAGACTTAGAGGGCATGAATTATTCACAATAACCCTAGGCAGTGGTATATGGCACACTCCTGTGTTGCGCGCACAAACAACATGCAGGTGTATTTGCGTGTGTGTGTCAATGTGCGTGTGTGTCAGTGTGTGCATAATTTGCGTGTGAGGAAGTGCGGTTCAGCCATAGGCTGTGGACCTAATCCACTACGACAAACCTCTGACATCACATGAACAACAGGCATACTGAGCAAATCCACTCATTCATTATAAATGAGAGAAAGTGGGATAGAGATAGTGAGAGAGAGAGAGAGAGAGAGAGAGAGAGAGAGAGAGAGAGGGAGAGAGAGCGTATCTGGGGAGAAATAAATAAAAATGATTATTAAATAATAAATGCAAAACTGTGCAACTGTATTTATGACAAGCAGACAACATTTTACCTTGAAAAACAAAACATAAGAAATGAATTCTGGGGTTCTGTTGCAGCATTTCCCAAACAGCCAATCATCAGAGAGACTAGCAATTTTACTAAACAAAGAAAAGATTCACGATGAATAGCGGTAGGCTAATAAGAATCTACATTACGTGAAAAAGCAGTTCCTGGCTTTGTCAGTCAGACAATATAGAGGACATGATTGGATGTCTTATTTTTACATTCTCTGGACCACCTAGACCACGGGTGCTCAATACGTCGATCGCGATCGGCCAGTCGATCTCAAAGGCAGTACCAGTCGATCGTGTGCCATCGATAAAAGAATGACGTCACGTCACACATGCACGGTCTACCGCGGGAGATGACCGAAACTAATGGTAATGGTAATTAGCGATTCTTGCTTACTAACGGACGGATTTAATTTCCTTCCAAAGGAACCCAGGCTGACTCCCGTAAGGTAATGACCAAGAATGTGCACTCGTTGTTTTCTTCATATCAACTCCTTATGACTATTTACCGGCCGCCACCTCCCTGTCAGCCGACATCGCCATGACCTGGTTAGTTGAAAAGTAGCTCGCAAGCCGTAAAAGTGTGGGCACCTTTGACCTAGACACTGCAATCATACAGGAAATGCCAAGAGTAATGTTAACCTGCATGATCTCTCAATCGCATCTCTAAGGACCTCTCTTGGACCCTCAACACCTCATCCCTGGTAAAGAAAGCACACCAGCGTCTCTTCTTCCTGAGGAGACTGATGAAGGCCCATCTGTCTCCTCAGATTCTAGAGAATTTCTACCGCTGTACCATAGAGAGCATCCTTACAAACTGCATCTCAGTATGGTATGGCAGCTGCTCTGTCGCGGACCTTAAATCACTGCAGAGGGTGGTGAAAACTGCCCAACGCATCACCAGTTCCTCACTCCCCACCATTGAGGCTGTCCAGAGCAAGAGATGTCTGCGGAGGGCAGCTCTCACCCCAGCCACAGACTGTTTGCCCTCCTCCCCTCTGGGAGGCGCTACAGGGTGCTCCGTTCCCGGACCAGCAAGTTCAGGAACAGCTTCATCCCTGCGGCTGTCATTCTACTGAACTCTGCACCCCCTGAACTCTGAACTCTGCCCCCCACCCCCACACACACACATCTCCCTCAGTGACTGTACTTCCCCCCTCCACCCTGGCTTGACTGCCACACACCTTCCTCCAGCCACTGAACATTTGCACAGTTATTACATATCCATTTCTTACTGTTCATATTGCACAACTATGTCTTACTGTACATATCTATTTATTCACTTATTACACTTTACATATGCACATATCTGCACTTTTTGCTATTTTGCACTCTGGTTGGATGTTAAACTGCATTTCGTTGCCAATGTACTTGTACCCTGTGCAATGACAATAAAGTTGAATCTAATGTAATCTAAAATCAATTTAAATTACCTTTAAGAATAAGCAGCCATAACGTCCTGCTCTAAAAGGCCGGCTTAATAGTCCCACAGAAATGTAAAAGTGTGTCTTCAGTGACTTTTTTTCTCTATGAAAAAGAATATTTCAGCAGTGAACGGTCACAAGAGGGTTTTGAATCGATTGCATTACGATTGAACAGCTTAAAAGAGGGCGGGCTTAGAATGTAGCCCAACATCAAGCTACAGAGGACTGTGGTACAATTGATTGGTGGGTGGATGTCAAGCTATTATTGGCTGACAATGGTTTGCGTAAGAACACAGAATAATTAAAGATTGAAAAAAATGTTTTGTAGTATTGCTGAATAAATACACCCTCTTTGTGCTTTCCCTTCCCCACAGGCTTCTGTGGATGGTGGTTCTATCTGGCTTACAACTCGCAATTATTTCAATCATTTCTGTTATAGGAATTGAACGTATTATACATCTTTTACGTTCATTCTGTACACATGACATCCATTGTAGTCCGTCCATCCCGTTTGAAAGATCGCTCCTCTGACGTTCTCCCTAAGGTTTCTTCCCTTTTCTCCCCATGGAAGGGTTCAAATTTTTTGGGGAGTTTTTCCTGGGCCAATGGGTTTTGGGAAAGAGGATGTCGCATGGGTACAGACCGTAAAGACCTCTGAGAATTATAATTTGCAATTTTTTATACAAAATAAAATGAATTGAATATGTGCACAATACGACCAGGGATATGTTAAAAAAAAAGGACTGATGGGCCATTTTTCATTTCGTCCCGAACAAAACGTTCTCTTCTGTTCTAGGGTTCATATTTTCTCATGAGGGTAGTCTAGTCGGCTGCGGTCTGTGGACCAGAGTAAGATGCTGAACTCCCACAAGGGGCTCGGGATTAGAGAGGTGAGAGAGTCACTCCACTCACAGTCTGACAGCAACTGGGTCGTCCATTATATAACAAAAACACACACACAAACACACTCTCACTGAACACTCGACACTTTTTTTCAATGGAGTCGGCACTACGTGCTGCAACATGTCTAGCAATTGTTTACAATTATAAACAATATAAATGTTATCTCATGGTTCATTAAGGCAAACAGCCACACTATGGAATAAATGTAGGCAATAACTTATAAATATCCTGTAAAATTACAGATTTTCTACCAATGTCGGCAGAAAAAGACATCTAATTGTGTGGTTTATTGGATCCGCCTAGGAAACCCTACTCTCACAACTCAGTGACAAACATTTAATTAACAGCAGGAACACTCATATAAACACACTCATGCATAGTAGGCTAACCGAAACCTCCTCTAACTAAACATTATAAACAACCTCCAGCTTTCTTCCTCATAGGAAGTCATAAATAATTCAATCGTGTCTCCAGCGCTCAGTAAAACCGATTTGCTGCTCACCATTCATCCTGACTGGGCAAGTCGTGGATCCAGGACACCGGCTCCTCGCCCAGGAAGCCCATGTCATCGTGGGAACTGGAAGACGATTGATCGGAGAGTCGGGCAGGGAGCAGCGGCGGCGTATCGTCTTCGATCATCACTACGTCGTCCTGAGGCATGTTCACCGTGGGGGAAAGCTGGTGGTTACCTGAGAGAGAGAGAGAGAGAGAGATTTGTTTCCTCACTATTATACAACACAACATGGCATGTATACTCCAGTTTTTTATTTCTTATTAGTGCTGGCTGATAACAAGTGGTACCAAATCAGAGAAAATATGAGAGCATTTGTGAGGAAAAGTATGCGCGCGCGCACACACACACACACACACACATACTCCTCCACAGACAAGTTTGTATAAACATAATTTTATCTGACTTTAGTAATTACCAAGGTAATGCTGTATACAGAGATAACTTCAGTCGAGATAATTGTATAGCGAATTTTTCCTATCGGGACCTGCCTAAAGGGCACCGACATTTCTCTGCAGGGTAAATAACGGCACTGATGAGGTGGCGCTTTGCAATGCTGCATGCAAACAACAAAACGCAAAACACTGGTGGACAAGACGGACCTAAATTATTGGACAAAATAGCCATCAAGAGCCACGGGAAAGACACTTTTCATACTATACAGTACACAGCTCCAAAATCCAGACTCCTTGAAAAGTTGTAGACCTGATTGGTTTTATCTCTTCTCTCGCCATCCATCCTCAAGGACAAATAGGAGCAGGAGAAGGGCTCCCCTGCTCTGTGTTCTGTACTGCCTGACCCTTCCTGCTGAGGACGTCTTTGAAACGCTCTCCTCGGGAGTTAAAGTCGTTGGGGAACGCGCTGCGGCCGGCTGGCGCTCGGCGCCGACGGCAAGGGAGGGGTTGTACGACGACACGAGCAGTGGCATCATAATACGGAATGGGATCCACTTCTGCTTGCTATTAAATGCAGAAATGCTTCCATTATTGCAGAGCCGTTCTGCGAATGTAATAGCTCAGGAACAACTGTGTATAATCACTAGCAGCATACAGCCATATTTACACTGGCATGATCCCAACGTGCATCTGAGAGGCGTTTCATTTCACTGGGGCCCGACGAATGATAAATGCCTTTGGTTGAAGCAAATCTGGGAAACAATCAACCCGGCAATGACGTGTGTAGTTATCTGTAGGGATATGAAAAAACAATTCTAAGAAAAGCAATGATAGAAAAACAAAAAAGCTGTGCGAGGGAGAAACCCAAGGTGGGCTTAGAAGGGTCCCCCACTTAAAGAAAACAAAGTCAAACAACAAACAGAGAATCGAGCACAAATTGTTTGTCATTTTTCATACACGTCCTGGCTGTTATCAGTGGCATGTGATAAAAGAGATTTATTATACCGTATATGAATACATGTTCCCATACCAAAGCTTTACATGTAGTTCTACAGTGGATACAACCAATACACTCATTACTTATATGGCCTTTACAAGCCTGATGATTATTATCTGATTCCCATGAAACAAGTTGCTTCATACCGTGCTCATGAAACCTTCCTGAAGCCTGCCGCTGTGCAGTACTTTTGCCATTTCTCATTTGGGCAGCTTGACAGAGAACTATGGGTAATTTACCCAGTACCATACATCAGCGGGGCTGCCGCACTGACAGTGATGAACTCCAGTCTGTTGAGCTACAGGCCAATCACTTTTATAGCATGCACACCAACTAGTGAGGACTTCGATGAGAGCTGTGGTCAACATGGTTTCATCATGTTTTCTTCATATCAATACTCTATTTGTGCCGTTGGTGCATATTAGCATTCCAGTGAGCGGAATATGACTTTGCATTGCTCTCAAACGCCGGTTGAAGCCGATATCGGCGCCCTGCTTGACAACGTCACTCCTGAAGCCCAGTACCCCCTCACCCGATCCCTCCCCAGGTAAACTCTGTTAGCTCTACACTGTACGCTGCAGTTTACACTTTAGCCATGAGGATTGTTGAGAGGTAATCAAAACGCTCCCCATAGTTCTAGTTTGCAATGTGATGATGTTGGTCTAGTTAATCCTTTAATCGGCATCCGTTTGTCAGATCCCCCCCCCCCCCCCCCTCTTTTGTCATCAGTGTCTCCCCCTTAAAGTCAGTTTAGCTAAAGAGCCTTCAGTGGCATTAAAGGACACCCTGCAGCTGTGTGTCCGGGGGGCAAAAGCCACATTCACCTCATGCCCCCACGTCATCACACCACTTCCGCCGACGGAAGACACCTTTTTAATTAGAAAACTCCTCTCCCAGCTTAATGAAATATTTCCAGTCAGGACCTATTGACACCAGCCAGCTCTGCAAGTCATTCCACTTCCCTCCAAAGGACACGCACGCTCACACAGTGTGCGGCTAGGTGGACAGGTGTAGTTGGGGCCACCCTGATGGTTTGGCAGGTGAGAATAATTAGAGAAACTGCAGCACCCGCTTTTCTGAAGCTGTCAGCATAACAGGCATAAAAGTAAATCACCCGCCACCAACGCTTCAAAATGTAAACGCGGATTTGACGAAGAGGAAGAAAATAATATCGTGCGTTTGGTTTCCCTGACTGCCAAAGATGGCAAATAAAAATAATCTGGAGAGGAAGAAAACTGTTCAGCGCCTCCAGTGGTGTTTTGGCACATTACATTACATTACATTACATGTCATTTAGCTGACGCTTTTATCCAAAGCGACGTACAATAAGTGCATTCAACCATAGGGTACAAACTCAGGAGAACAAGAAACAAGAAAGTGCAATTTCCTCAAATAAGCCAATTTACAATTTGCTATAGATGAGTGACGTTACAAGTACAATTTAAGTGCTACAATTTGTTAGTCTTTAGTCGAGGTAGAGTCTGAAGAGGTGTGTCTTTAGTTTGCGGCGGAAGATGTGAAGGCTCTCTGCGGTCCTGGTGTCTTCAGAGAGCTCGTTCCACCATTTCGGCGCAAGGACAGCGAAGAGTCGAGACCTAGTCGAGTGTTTTGCTCTCAGTGAGGGAGGGACGAGTAGTTTTGCAGATGCAGAGCGGAGAGTGCGGGTTGGGATGTAGGGTTTGACCATGTCCTGGATGTAAGCTGGAACATTGAGGTGCTTAATCACTGATTTAAAGCTGCTGCCTTTTACCAGCTCCTCACACGAGGGGGGGTAGGGGGGTCATGGGGGTGAGACTACCAGCAGCGACAGCTCACTTCCTCTCCACTGCCAAATGGATAGACGGTGTACATGTGTGTTAGAGCTCGGTGTGACTGAGGGTAGACGGTTATGTTTGTTCCATACAAAGATAATTCTCCACCAAACAAGTGAAGTGCATTCATTCTCAGGGCCACATTCGTAGTCTTCCTTCATGCGTTTCCCTCGTTAAAGATTTTGCCCAGGGAAGATCATCTGAGGTTAATGTTGAGGGGATGTTTGCCTTTTTGTTCCCATGCCCAATAGCGCCGCAGCAAAAAATAACCACAGGCGTCCAGAACCTGTGAGAGAGCCGGGAACGTCATTTTAGTTTTCACCAAATAACAGCACCGCTATCTTGGCTCCAATCGAAACGCTGCTGTTCAGCTTCTGGAATCCTTAAAACACTTGAGCCTTTCACTGTCTGAGTGAATGCAACGCTTCAACCAAAACATTAATAGCACCACGCCGTCGCAAATGAATCAGCAGTCACACACATCTAACAGACATCTTTGTGAGGTCAAATGGGGATACATGTTCCTCGGATATGATTAATGGTTCACAGAAGACGGCTCTCGCTGTCTCAGATCTTCTGATTCATGTCTGCCATCCATGCGGCGTGTGTGTGCCACTGTGGCCTTTGTCACACTGTAATTAAAGCTAGCTTCTCATGAGTCACGCTGACACACACCACTAAGCGTCTCAGCACAATTACAACCCTCATCCACCCTGCTAAAAACGTTTAAAGCCTAACATGAGGCGGTAATGTGCCGGCCAAACATGATCACAGTGGGATGACAGTGGCTCGTAATTTGAATGTCTTGTTATTGTAACATGGTTTCTTAGAAAATAAACGCAAAAAAACGTTTTTTTTTAATGTGGCTGTCTACACGCTAACTGCTTTGGTCCCTACACTTGACAGGTTGGCACCCGCTGAGAGCAGTGGAGGTTGCGTTTCCACGACGACGTCTGTACCTATGCACACGCAGCCCCCTGGCTACCTATGCTCAGCTTGTGGAAGCTAAATCCATGATGTGGAAGCATAGATGTCCGTCCTCCCTCTGGCAGAGAGTGAAGACAGAGACTGATGAGCTTTCTGGCAGCAGAGGCCACCTGGCTGCATCCATCCTCATGGATCAGGGCTTCGCTCTTCGCTGTCTCGTCCCTCTGACAAGGCGTTGCCCGTTGAAACATGGCCCTGTGGGGTGAGAGGTCACGCTAATGGCCCCGCTCCATCTTCTTTGTCCTGGGCCGTTTCCTTAATCTTTGTCAGTCACACGGTCTCTTTCTTCCTCCCTCCTTGCGTGACACTTCGGCCTATTGATTTGACTGAAGGAGAGATCATTAGTTGACCCAGGCTGACCATGACTTTCAAATTGCTGATGGTAATCAAGTGCACATACTGTATGCAACGAAAGCTTTACTAACAAACATTTTTGAGGACTATTGCACACCTGTACCTTGGTCTGTTGGGTCCAGACAAAGAGACACAAATGATGCAGATGTGTCTTTAAGTCTTGGTCCAGTTTGCTTATCCACTGACATTTTACAGACATAATAAAGAGGAGTAGAAATGAATTCATACAAATTGAGAGGTTAACTGTCATGCTACATCATCAGGACCTGTGTACAAATTAAATCCTTTTGGAGCTATTTCATTATCCACTAAAGGGTTTTGGCCCAGCAGTCATAAGCCGTTTTTAGAGTTACGAGGGGTTGTCATGGTGCCTATTACCACATGTTGACAGGATGTGACAATCGGGACTGGTTTGGCGACAGCTTAGCGCAAAAAAATATTTCCACACAATGTGGGCAATAATGAAGCCAAGATGCTGTCTTCACTACAGCTCAAGCCAAACTAACTTCTCTGGCATAAATAACCACAAAAATGTTCCTATTGCAGAGATCAATCCATCAAGAGTGTAGAAGAAAGAGCCGCCCTCCCACCCAAGCCTGTTATTTAGCCTTTAAATGCCATTTCAGGAAATATCATTATTGACCCCCTCAACCTTTTAACACAAGCAAATGCTACTGAAGCTTTACGCCAGGGTGATGCACACCAGCATTCCATAGTTAGGATAAAGATACAGTGTACTTGATGTTTGTCGCTCGAGGCTAAAAGCAAATATCTATCAGACTTAAGCAGAGACGAGAACAAGCTTGCTGTACAATTGATATGAACTTTATCATACCTACACAAATTGAGTGTATATCCAAGCAGCCATATGGAAGGAAAATATTTTACACACTTTTCTTTAATCATCCCTCAGCAGACAAATTCCCCTCGTTTGTTCTGCTATTTCTTTCAGACTTTCAGACAAACGGGAGTTAAAATCCAATTGGCTACATTCTAAATGTAGCTCTGCTGACACGCGCACCCACTCCTCCTCATGCAAAGTTCCGACACGGACCAATCATAGTAATTAGAGAGAGAATTTGTCTTGACCTGGCAGGTGCAACAAAACTAATGCAGGAGTTGGAGAGACTAATCACACCACGCAGCCCTTGTAAGAGGTCTAATGAGACGTGTCGAAGCACCTGTTTTTTACAACATTTTCTAAACCCGTGCGATTTACATACTTGATATTGCTGGTAAGAGTTGTAATGGAATGTATTAAAAATGTATATGGCAAATACCTATTTTTTTAAACCAATTTCCCCCAGTTTGGAGCAACAGAAAGGAACTTTTACAATGGAGCAAAGTAATGTACTGCTATGGTCAGGGGCAGCAGCAATAAGTAGCCACATAAACATAAGGCTAAACATCAAGAATACACCATGTTCACACCCTTTTCACAGCATTGCCTTGCTGTAGAGTCTATGTTTCGGACCGGGAAGTCAAGCTGTGGAATTCTGGTCGTTCGGCCCCTGCTGCTATCGGTTAGTTTGAATCAATTTTTGGTCGTATAATAACAAAAACAAACAGAACTAGTGAAAAGATTCTAAATAAAGTGTGAAGTGAAATTAGAATAGACATCTTCAAATGGCTAAAATAAATTTAGCCGCAGCTGCCACCACAATTACAGAGACCAACAAGCCACACTTTAGATCAGCCAAACAATCCCTTTAAACACCATTAGGGTCCCCGGAGACAGCCAACGGTTGGTGTGCTCATGGTTGGCTGTTTGTGTGTGTGGATTTGCTAAAGTATCTTTAGCCTTATAAATGTCCTCATAATGATGGAAAAAATCTTTCAGTAACCAATTTGGGATTTGGGTCAATCCACAGAATGTTTTTGCACCATCACCTGCACTGCACACATTACATCCTGTGAACACCTCCTCTTCAGTGTGACAACAGCATGAGTCTGCCTGCCTGGTTCCCACCTTTGGCCTTGACGCCACCCCCCCACCCTCCCCTCACAGTACTGGTCCTGGGTAACTTCGGCACTCAGCCCAACAGCCACAACCACAGAAAGCGTCAGTCCAAGGTCCTTAATTTTCACCCCAGCGTGTTGACCCCACACCCCACAGCCCTTTTTCCATTAGAAGGAACGGAAAGCAAAGCCGGGTGTGATGCTAACGACCTTTGCGTCAAATCTGGACTGCCGCTGTCCCACTGTGCACATGCAGGAGATTTCACTCAGCCCTGCATTTAATTTTGTTTTTTTCCTCTTTTGAGAGAGAAAGCATCTCTGATGATCCCCAATCCCTTGTCCCCAAGAGTAATAGGTGCGGGAGGGAAGGCAAGAGAAGAGAATGATATAAATAAAAAGTGTCAGGGACTCATTTCATTTGAGCTGCGAGTCAAGCAGAACGCACTGTATGTTCACCACCTGCTAGCTGTGGATTCAGCTTCTGGCCACGACGCTACAATGCGTGAAGTGTGCATGTGTGAAGGTAAAGCTGACAAGATCACAGCATCTCAGGGTTTATTGAGGCAAACGGGGAGTGGGATTATCTCTGACTATTGATGAGCTCAATGTGTGCACCCACACACACACATGCACACACAGCCGATTGTTCTGAATAACACACTACTGTGAAAGATCAAGGCAACCCTTACAATCAATGTAATACCTCACCAGCTTAATAGCACATGTCTCCCTCCAGCGACATTTGATGCCTTTCTTTGCTGTTGCCATAGTAATCACAACTAATTAATTACATTTTAATGTCCATATCCACCCACAGATCCAATACCTCTCTTCACTGTTTCAGAAGAGATCTGTGACTGCTGGGAGTAGACGAGCTGGTCCAGCGTCTGAACGATATCTTGGCAAGGTGAGATAAGGCATCCGTAGGACACAAAGCTTTTTTTGTTGTTGTTGTTTTGTAGTAGGAAACAGACGGCGGAGCATAACATAATTGTTGGGAAAGAAATGGTAGTTCATAAATGTCCTTGTATTGGCTTGCTGCCATCTGCTACAACTTACGATCAAAGTGAAGTTCTAATTCTTGAGCGGCCAAGCCATTCCATCCCTTTTGCCTCTGTGCTTTGGTCCACTTACGGCAGCACAGGCAGCATAATGGAGCAGAGGAGAGGAACTGATTTGGTTAGAGAATTCAGTGGATCAGTGGAAATTGAGCCTAACCTGATGGAGAGGTTGTACGTGAGTGTGCCACTGTGCGTCCTGCGCTGTATCTATGCCCTTCCATATATCCCAGACTCTACATGTCTGGCTTTCCCGATTCGATAATTTATCAGGTCTAGATACACTCCGCATCAAGCTGCCAGTCAAGCCCTGGTGGCTGTGTGCTTCCTGACCGTGCCCAAGTAATCCAAGCATCTGTCCTCTAACCATTACTGTCACATCTCACATACCAGGCAGTAAGTCTGAGCTGTTCTGAAATAACAAGATATAGAGCTGAAACAGAGACTCTCTTTCTAGCCTGCAGAAACACAATATTAATGTACAATTCACAGAAGAGTAAGTTCATACAATGGTTCGCCTGTCTATCGCCTTAATTCAAACTAAAGTGGGCTACACTGACATTTCAGTTACATTGACATTTACAAATTAAAAAAACACAAGTCACATATTGATGAATATGAATGATGATGCTATTTGCTTTCAGACCAAATGTTGTGACATTTGATCAAAGTTAACTCGATCTTAGCTCTGTGTGGTGATTAGGATACCACTGACCACTTTAAACTTGGGGGCTCAAGACAGGAGACAAGAGACTTTCTTCCTTTATACCTGGTGTGCTTTCATGTATTCGGGGGGGGGGGGATTAATACATTTTCTGAATTTTTGGAAGATCAGATATGCAGAAATTGCATGAAAAAAAACATTTGACCGACCCATGATACCGGCACATTCTTGTCTCTACTTCTTAGGTGTCAGAGCGGTGTATTGCTGTGATCAATCTAAACCTTAACTCTGCATCACAGATTTAAATAGGAGAATTGTGTCAATTCAGTCACAGAATGTGGGCTCGGGTTAATGAGGCTATGACTCGGAGACAGCCTCGAGACAGAAAAGAAAATGAACTGAGGATTTCTTGCAGCTAGACAAGCAGCGTCAAAGATCTGAGACTCTGCCGAGCTTCTGCTGTGATAACTCACTGCTTTAGCAGCCGCTCCGCCCCCACCCCTAAAACTTTTCCTCTCATTCGACACCCACTCCGGAGGATGAGGTGAGCGCCGGGTGCCGTTGACGGCAAGAAACTTTTCCATCAGCGCGCCCACAATTGCCGCTTATGATCACAGCGCAAAATAAAAGGCTGCGTCAAAAAACAAAAGAATGCCAGCGGAATGAACAAGAAAAGAGGAAAACCTAACCCATTGGAGGGCAGTTGTTTCATTGGGGGAAAAAAAGGCTGGGTGAGGATGAGTAAAAAAAGAGAAGGGGAGACAAAAACAGTGGGAGATGGAGTGTTAGGGGCAAGCCCTATTGATGTGGAGGCTTAATTAACCATCAGGTGCCTCTGACACAGCCTCAGATCTTCTGTGATCAGTGGCAGAGTGACAGCGCTCTGGGGGAGACGGAGGGGGGGCTCGGATTGGAGAGAAAGGGGAGAATGAATGGCAGAGGGGCAAAAAGTGTAGATCACTGGCAGATTACCAATTCACCATCCGAGGAGAGCCGGGTGGAAGTATGACGGAGGTGGGGGTGAAAGAGGGTACAAGGACACAGTAGAGACACAATAGACAATAGAGGAGGAAAAAAACAAGTGTGGCAAGGAAAGGCAGGAAAGAATTAGGAGATAAGGCGAAAGGAAGGAAAGATGATAAAACGTGTGCATGAGAACATACTGTGCCTCTAGAAAAAGAGGGGACAGTAATGCACTGCAATCTCCTCCTCTTGCTGCTCGCGCGCATGCGTGAAAGGTCCGTCGATGTTGAGATGACAGCGACCGAGGATTGAAATGCCAATTCTAATTCACCTGAAGAGATGAGATCTTAGCCCGCTGATGTCAGTTGAGCAGAGGGAAATTGACCCGAGTGAAACCTGTCAGGAGTGGAGTCGGGGGTGACGTTAATCCCAGAGAGGTTGGAATAGTGAAATAACGCAGCTTGGGATGCAGTTATGTGAGGCTTTGAAGGTGATGGCGGGCTAGGGATTGAAGGGGGGGGGTCTAGCAGAGGGTTGCTAGAATTGATCAGGGGATGTCAGTTTACATACAGCATCATTGTAAGGGCAAAATAACAGGTTAGTGGGTCAACCACACTCCCATCAAAGTGAATGGGTGATAGGCAGCAAAAAAGAAAAATCCAATTTGCATTGTCCTGTCTGAGAGTCTAAAAGAGACACAGAGTGACATGTCACTCACCCATGCGTCCGATCATATTAGCCAGCGGCGTGGGGTTGGTGTCCAGGCCTTCTATGATTTGATAAACGGGGTTGGAGATGTGTCGCTCGTGGTTGTCCAGTAGAGAGTTCCGGAGATGCTCTAGAACTGGAGGGCTTGCAGGGGCCTCCTAGAGAAACATGGATGAAGATGAAGAACAGACGTAGGGCTTACAAACAGGTTCAGGGCAAAATATATGCTCCATTTGAAATCAACAATATGATTTATTTTTAAAGGGCCACTGCAAACCGTTTTTTGAATAAACATTTGAGACATATTCACGTTCCAAACTGAAGGTTTGAATCATTCTCACACATACTGTAACACTTAACACAATTGTCTGATTGAAATAACATAATTTTCTACTACTAACGTTTTTTTTAACAAATCATTTACTAAACATATGTTTATCTACCTTTATTTTGCATATTAAAATCCCTGTTAATGAAATTGAGAATTATGTAATGTGGCTTTGAAATAATCCAAACTTCCAATTTCAATGTAATGAAAACTTCAGATTTTTGAAATATTTAGAAAATCTGAAGTATATATATATAAAAAAAAATATATATATATATATACACACAAATAAAACACACACACATTCACAGACAGAAAAACCAGTGGCTCTGCATGATGTGATGCCATCAATACTCCAGAAACGTGGAATCAGGGGGACCAGCATCCGTCTCGTCTTACATGAGAATGTTCTGGCTCAGCAGTGTGAAACAGCTCCTGTAGAAGGCGGAGCCGGAGAAAGCTCCATGGATTTCCCATAGGCCAATAGACAGCTGTCTGTAACAATGAATCCCAGTAAATGGACCAGTGACATTGGCCATGTGGTCGATACACCGCACTGTTATCGAGCCCACTGTACACTTGCTGCATGTGACAGTCTCTGCAAAAGGGACACGGTTAGCGGTTCTGAAACCACTGGGCCCAGATACTATGCCCCCTCTTCAAAAGACAGGAGTGGATTCTTCTTAGGATGGAGACCACGGAGAGTCACTGAAACATCTCACATCCACGTGCAGCGTCAGAGAACAGACCTTGGGCCGTGGCCTTGTTTCCCACAATGCCTCATAGGTGCCTGTGGGCATCCGCGGGAAGGCTCTGGAGAAGAACTCCCTGTACTAGACTCATTACAAATATCTCCCTTTCAGCGAGATAGTCCTACGCAGTTCAACGTTGTACCTCGAGCATGCTTTAAACCAGGAGGCCCCGGCTAATATTAATGTCTCACAACACTCTGCTGGCCCCTGGCCAAGAAAAAGAGGAGCAAACTATCAGACAACTGCAGCAGGAAAACAGCGAAGAGAAGAAGGGGAGGGGAGTTTTTGGCATAGCAAACAGGGGAGGTGTGGTGGGGGGCGTAAAACAAGAAAAAGGAGGATTGTGAGGGGAGGAAAATGCTGTGTGGTTGCAGCTGAGTTGCCTCCTTGTGGAGGTAGTGTACCTTGGAAGGTGCACAGCCAGGTGGAGGGACACCATTCAGCTGTTATTATAAATTAGAGGTTTAATGAGGTTCAACGCGCCTCATCGGGGCACCGTGTTGATACGAACAAGATGCAAGGGGTGTGTGTGTGTGTGTGTGTGTGTGTGTGTGTGTGTGTGTGTGTGTGAAATGGGGGGGGCCGGGTCAACACCATTACAATCACCGCCATGACCGCTGGCAGCCTTATAATAAAAAGCACGTCTCCAGATGATTCAGACTCAATAAGGCTCAGATTGACGAAATAAAGATTTATTTTACCCGCTCCTCCGCTCTTTCACTCAACCTCTCTATGCGCTTTTTAATCTGACTTTGAATCTGTCACGAGCCGAGAGGAAGTAAGATGGAGTGTCTCGGGTAAGAGGTGTAAAATGTGTGGACCAGGAGTGAGCAGCTAAGGGCCAAATTATATGAAAATTATGTATAGAATGTGTCAAGCGGGAGATATCCCCAAAGGAGCGCTATGTAACTGTCTGCCTCTATCTCAACGGGCTCCTTCCAAAGGTAGTCATTGGCCTCTACTGCAAATAGGCTTTGGAATGAACTTAACACAGAGGCAAAATGGCAGCTATTTAATCTTTGTGTACCCAGCATTAATTAAGTCTGCCTCTGTGCATGCTAATGCTTTGTGCATGTTTACTGACCTGTGAATGTTTACTGACTAGTGCATGACGAGCAGTGCCACTTCCATGTCAAAACTGCAATTACCTGGTATTTGATATCACAGACGTGAATCAACATCTGGCTCTTTTCCCAAGCAGAAGCACATGCATTCCATCTTAATAATTGGCTGGATAGTGAATATGAGCATTAATCGTCACAATTCACCATATAAAACAGAAAGGAAACCGCTCCTCGGTTAAAAAGTACTGTAGTTTATATGTCCCAAGAATAAGACATTCCCTAAGTTATTCACTCTCTTTTTAGAGATGATATCCCTTTATTCCCAGCGGTTCTCATCCCCTCGTCATTTGTTTGATCTGATTAATCTAGCCATTTTCAGAGCGGATTATCCTGTTGACTGAGGGAGAGGGCAGAGCTCTGTGATTTTACACTCAGCCCAGTCGAGATCATCTGCTGCTCAGCTCCCGCTGGACTCCCCAGCAAGGTTTGTGTGTTGAAGGTGATGCTGATATCTGTGTGAATGGAGCGTGAGAGTGTGTATGTGTGTGTGTGTGTGTTTAGCAGTATTCATGTGCGTTTGTGTTTGTATGCGTTTGAGGTAAGTGCAGACTCGTGCACATAATATTGTTTTGCCTGTGCATCAGCATCTCCCTGACCTTGAGCCTTGAGAGGGAGCAGTGTGTTGACGGGGCGAGTCTTAAGCTGTCAACTGAGGCTAATAATGTCTCGTCCGTGGCCATTTCCTGGCCTTCTATCCTGGTCTCAGCCTGTTGCTGCGACCCTAATCCAGTCAACCTCCACCATAATGCTGTAATTACAATCCTTAAGCTGCTGCATCGTGCCTCAGGCACAACTCGCCCCGCTGCTGGCTAGATACCCCACTTTCATTAGCCTTTCACATCCACCTAGAGCCTCAGCTAATACCATTTCTTCCCAAAGTGGATGCCCAGGTCCTATTAGGAGTTTTTAGTTAAACCTCAATTTCCCCAAAAGCCGCCATGCACATGGGGGATGTGAGTATAACTTGTGGTTGGGTTTAACTGTTCCACCGCTGCTGATTCTACAACGATAGACATAACAGGTGTCTTGCCAAAGAGATTTAATACAGTGGCCAGCAGCACTACGGGGGGAAATTGAAAAAAGCTCAACTCAAATGCAGAAGTTCTCCATCACAACAACCAGGCCACCAGGCAAGGGGAAATGGTGCTCGCTCATACAAAGCACATAGGAAGCTCAGAGTTGTTTACTAGTTTGGCATAGTAATGGAGTGAGGAATGGCCTTCAGCACATAGACGAGATCGCAATGTGGATCTGCCCCATGAGCCATCGCGTACACACAGTGTATTTGAAAAATACAGAGAACACAGTGATTCTGTGCTGAGGTGACGAACTGAGCAAAAAGAGACAGGACACTGCACCAACACCTAGAGTGGCAGAGTCTGGCTACTATCTTCTATCTCTTTCATGGAGATCCATGTCCTATTTTTTGGGTTATGCCGGGCTTGACCAACATCATCAAGATGGCTCAAGATTAAAATAAAATCCAAACATAAAAATGTACACCCACCAGCATAAAAGTTCTAAGTTCTAAGATTGGGGGTGACGGGCGCAAAACACAGCGGCAGCGCTGACAGAGCTAACGTTGTTCAACTAACTGTCGTGGACGGTCACGACCTCGTTGTGAACGTAATGTAATGGTGAAGAGTGGCTTGGGGCTGGCTGACGAGTTCAATCACTATACAATAGCTTGAAGGTTCCTTATTTTAAGAAAATGGTTTAATGATTTTCTTTTCTTATTTAACAAATACAAGAACACACCCATGTTTTTACAGCACCCATGTTTTTCTTCGAAGAACTTTCACCACAAAACCCAATCCTCCACTTTTCAGGACCATTATTCAGTAGGGACCTGTCTTTTTGGTTGTCTGTTCATATTAACCATGTCCAATGGTAACCACAGTCCAATGGTAACAGCTAATTGGGGAACATCATATGTACTACGATGCAAAGTGAGAGGAATTTGTGTGTGTGTGTGTGTGTGTGTGTGCATTCAGGTATTTGGTGCCTGTTTTTGGCACACACTTTCCCTCTGCAGTCCTCTCCCGTGCCCGAGCAGCCCACTCAACCACCAGATTCAATATATTATTTTTTCAATTGGTCCTTTTGAGTTTCCCCTGCTGTTCCTAAATGGGTTAGTCCTCAGTGAGCCGGCTGGGAATGGAGGCCCAGGGGCGCTGGAATTGCATTTCTGCTACATTGCGATCTACTTTCCTCACTTCAGTCAGCCCATTCATTGCAAACTACATTTCCCAGAGTGCACCGCTTTGTACCTTGCCTCCATCCTCTTCCCATGAATCACTGCTATTTGCTGTGACAGCGGGGAAGCTGTGGTACATACAAGTCGTGATCTGACTAGAATTCAATCAGTGCGTACTAAGTTGGGCAGGGCGCATGGGTCGCCACAGATTTCCCTCTCTTTCTCTAGCCACCAATGTGGTCCTGCATCTCAATGTTTTAAGTTCCTATCCCAGCAGTGGTCAGCTCAATACTAATAAAACCATAATTTCCTGGGCCACGGCTCTGATTGATAGCTCTCTCAAGGCTCTATCGATCAGCCCCTCTCTCGTCCAAGTGAGCATCTTTTGTTAGGGCCTGCCACTTCCTTCCCCCCTTGTCTCTTTGCATAAACGTCCAGTTAGTGACTAACAAGCAACGCTTTCCGAATGGATTACAAACAAGGCCATTGGCATGCTGGGAAGGCAACTACTGCACTCATTTAGAACAGAGTCAGCGGCCCCTCCATCCCTCCACAGAGTTTAGCTACTGCGTCCACGCACTCCGATGATGCAACAATGCTGAGGTGAATGCAGAGGATGAAGTGCTTTGATCTTTCTCCTGTTCTGCGGCTCCTCATCAATAATAAAGTGGCGTTTCAGCATGACCATGTTCCCTCATGGTTAGCTGCAAAATACAAGAGCATGCGGGCATCCATAGATGGGCATTTTGAGAAAATG